GGACGCCAAACAACTACCTTGATAGTCTCCAACTAATAGTACTCTGAAATCTAACAATCTCCGTGTCCGAAAGCACCTGGATCTGCACACGAGGTGCAGAGTATAGTATGAGTACAACTAACTCAATAAGTAACAAGACTAACCTCTGGGCTGAAAGAAATGATGAACTCTGCAGGTACAGTCCAGTAAAAATAATGGTACAGAAATATAGGCATGCTTTCAAGTTCAACAGTAAACTCAGTACAAGTAAAATAGATCAATATTGCATGATATGAGGCATATGATATCTCAGTAGAAAGACCTCAAGTAAATACTGGTCATAAATTATTCGGTTACTTGGTATTGTTTATGGCCAATCCAGCCCAAGGGTATTCCAACCCGTATATATGTGCACATCGACTGACAATCAGTCACCTAGTACCGTATAAGGTCAATCTAGCCCTGAGATAATTTATCCCTAAATATAAATGATACTGACAAAATCCATGTCAAGATAACTCATTACAATACAAATAAGTAAGGCAAGTCCATGCCCCGGGAAAATCCATCCCAAATATATATATAAGCAGTAAGTAAGGCAAGTTCATGCCCTGGGAAGTCCATCCCGAATATCGATAATCATCTACGCTCACTGGGGTGTGTACAGACTCCGGAGGGGCTCCTTCATCCCCAGCGTAATACAAAGTCAATATGGCCTACTGCAGGCGGGCAGTCCCGATCCGTATAATAACAAAACCTATAAAGTCTGCTGCAGGCGGGCATCCTCGATCCATAATATAGTAAAGCCTTTAAGGCCTGCTACAGGCGGGAAGCCCCGATCCAGAACAATAATAATGTATAAAGCCATTCTGGCCTGCTGCAGGCCAGCTGCCCCGATCCATTTAATAATAACACATATAAAGCCAAATGGCCTGCTGCGTTGCGCAGCTCAATCCCATAAATATCCTCACAATGGACAATTATTACTGTGTGTAAAATGTATATTTTAGAACAATTAATTCAATAGCATCACGACCCTATGGGTCCAAAAATATCGGCACATATCCTAAACATGATCTTTATTACTAGCCTCGACTTAATTCTTCTATCAAGTGCCACACGTTCAGATAATAACATGATTCTTTAATTTTACTACTTCACAGAATTTATTCAAGACACAATTTATATGGTGCACGTCCACACGCTCATCACCTATTGTGTGTATCACCTCCAAACAGTTTATATCATATCAAATTCGGGGATTCATACTCTCAAAATCAAGTTTAGAAGTATTACTTATCTCAAACCGTGTAATTCTTTACTCCTCTGTGCCTTTGCCTCGTGAATTGGCCTCCAAATGCCTCGAATCTATCCACAATTCATTCATTTCAGTCAATAAAATTTATTGAAATTAATTCCATAAGAAAATACTTATTTCCCATAAAAATCCAAAATTTAGCTCAAAAATCGTCCGTGGATCCCACATCTTGGAACCCGACAAAAGTTACAAAATATAAATGCCCATCCAACCACGAGTCTAACCATACAAATTTCACCAAATTCCGACATCAACTCGACCCTCAAATCTTCAATTATAGTCTTTAAAGATTTCTACCATTTTCAACCCAATCTATACCCATTTGAACTCAATAATTTTTTCATAAACCTTATTGATATGCATAAATGATACTATTACACCCAAGAATCATACCCTTAATAACTTATCTTTACCCAAACTCGAAATTGAAGACTAGGGGTTAGAACCTTACCTCTTGGGTGAAGATCTTGTGATATTTCCTTGTTGGATTTCAAAGCTTGGACAAGATCTTGATGAACAAAGCACTTGAGTTTCTTCCTCTCTCTAGAACACTCTCCCTTCTCTCTAAAAATATCAGAATTTTGCTCCAAAACGAGTCCCAAAGCCTATTTATCAAAATGGGGTCGGGTTATGAAAATAGAAAAATTAACCCTCCAAAAGCAGGTATGTGATCGCATAATAGACCCAGAATGGGTATGCGGGCTGCAAAACTGATCGCAAAATCGGCGCCCAAAACTGGGCTCTCCTGGTCCATTCTGCGACCTGTTTTGCGGTCGCAGAATTATATTTTTCCAGCCTTTGGTAATTTGGTCATAACTTCTTGTAGGAATGTCCAAATGACGAACGGTTTGAAGCGTTAGAAACTAGACTCGAAGATATTTCATTTTATAGGTATATCATCACAGAAATACATATATACATGTATATATTCTCGTTCAAATTTGGATCTTGTGTGAACTCACTTGAAACTTTAGTCTTATGAAATTGCCAACTTCTACATTTGATGCCGAAACCTATCGAATCATGTCCGATTGACCTAAAATTTTGCACACAAGTCACAAATGACATAATGGACCTATTACAATTTACGGAATTGAATTCCGATCCCGATATCAAAAAGTCAACCCCCCGGTCAAACTTTCCAAAAATTCAACTTTCGGCATTTCAAGCCAAATTCCACTACGTACCTCCAAATAATTTTCCGGACACGCTCCTAAGTCCAATATAACAATACGGAGCTATTGGAATTATCAAAACTCCTTTCCGAGGTCGTTTATATATAAGTCGATATTCGGTCAACTATTTCAACTTAAACTTCCAACATAAAATTCATTCTTCCAAGCTAACTGTGAAGTACCTTAAAACCAAAACTGATAATTTACACAAGTCATAATACCTCGTAGAAAGTTATTCAATACTTCAAATAGTTAAAAGGAGCGTAAATGCTTAAAACGACCGGTCGGGTCGTTACAATTTCATATTGTATCATATTGTATTGTATGAGACTGTACTGTATCATTTGATGAATATAATATTTGGATAGATTGTATCGTTTGCCGTTGTTTCATGATATTACACATCAGCAATATGAAGAATAAACTTGCAATATTATAAAGAAAAATTATGATAAGGGGTAAAATTATTATATAAAAAGTTAGGGTAAATGATAAAATAAAATTATTTAATCTATACTATATTAAAAGCACGAAAGCCCTTAGCAAAATGTCGTTCGCCTTTTTTGTCCCTTAAAAATAAATTTTATATTAGACAAAATCGTCATTTTAAGTTTTCTCCCTAATATTTAGGAGTTTTAAATAAACTAAATTAGTACATTAAATCCTAACTTATTTTAGGTATGTACACAAAGTCTTAAATATTAAATTTCTTGCATAAATCCTTCCTTAATTAATGATGTAACATAGCAAATCTATAAACAGAAAAACAACGTTTAAGTAAAAAAACTTTTGACACTTAGGACTCCTTTTTTTTAACCACTAAGGACTCTTTTAAGGGTTAAGATTCTTTGGTCTTCGTTAAAGAAATATAACGATTAATTTTAGCAATTAAACTAACTCAAAAGCAGAAAACTAATATTGCAGAGACTACAATCTCAACTGTTCGAGATACATATCAATCGTGCAAGTTATTTTTCAATAATTAAAAAAGACTATTGTTTCAATCATCTTATCCATGAAATAATACGAATAGATAAAGATGAGAATGGAGCTAGACAGAAAAACTTAGAACAACAAAGTTATAAATGGATACTCCAAAAAAAGGTAAACGAAAAAACAATAACCACTAAATCAAAAATAAACACTGTTGTTTTTTTTCCAGAAAAAGCTCTTAAATTTTTAAAGGCCATATATTTTTGCTGAAACTAAAAGGGATGCATAATCAATATTCTTCAATTTCAAGAGTTTAAATTTTTAGTTTATATATCAAATATAATGTTTAATATAATATTTTATTCATCAAGATAGGATACATGCGCAACACGCGAGTGTAGATTTCAAATATTATACAAAAAATAATAAAGAGAAAATATTATTCGAGTAGGGAAGGAGTTCAAAAATTATTATATTTTTATATTATTGTAAAAGTACTAAACCCCAATGCGGGGAAAATAAAATTATTTTTTTAATATTGAGAACAAGTAATCAAGTCTTTGAATTAATTACTCCCTCGGTTTCAGTTTATATAAAATATTTTAGTTTATCGAGATTCAAACTATTGAAACTTTGACCAAAATTTTTAAATATTATTTTTTATCATATTGACATGAAAAGATTACAGTTTCATAGTATTTCATGTATAGTTTTTGAATATCTAAGTTTTAAACTTAAAATAGCGAATTAATCTAATGCAATTTAGCTTTAAAGGTTAGTCAAATTAACTCTTGAAAAGCGAAAAGATTCACATACACTAGAAAGGAGGGAGTAATTAGCAAAATAATCAATTTATTTCTTTTTTAAAATCATCATATAAATAAAAATATTTTTTAAATTCATAAAACTCTTAAGGTATATAAATTTATTTTCACGAGAAGAGCATTGACCGTTAAAACAATAAAAATAGAGCAAAATACTATGTTATAGTTTAACTTGTTATTTGTTTTTCGTATTAGGTAACAAAAATAACAAGGATGTTCATAAGATATCCACATATGTTCTAAGAAATTACAATAATGCATATGTAAGACACAATTTCTTTATTTATTGAAAAAGCTAAATGAGATCAATATTTATATTTTTTAGGAGCTTAGATCTTTTTCATTAATTTTTGTTCAATAACTCAAAAAGATTATTTAATATAAATTACCTATTTTAAAAAAATTATATATTCATGATACTGGTACACGCGCAAAGCGCGTACCCTAAGACTAGTAATAATAAAGGGTGAGATGAGAGAAAAAGACAAGATAACGACGCGGCCACACCAAATCGGTCGTTACATAAAGTGGCACATTTCGTCGGTACGTAACGACGGATTTAACGATACGATACAATAAAATTTAAGTAACAATCAAAACAAACATTGTATTTAAAGTATCAATACGATATAATACAATAGGTAACGACCATCCAAACAAGTTGTTAAAGTTATTTTAGCTTCGACAACATTGATTGATTGTAACTATTTAAGTAAAATTAAACCTAAATCAAACTTGCTTTGGGAAGTCCTCACTTGATGTGTAGAGGATATGAAAATAAAGGCTGACAGGAAGAATCGCCTTTTTGCGTACTTTGCCATAGGTGCTTGGTTTCATTCTTCCGTACCTGTTTCATGCAAAACCTTCACTCCTACCAGCACGGATACTGATAGCTACAGATCCACGATATTATTCTTTCTTCTCTGGTTCGAAAATGCAGCTTCTAACTTCTCAATTGAGCCAGTGATAGTTGGTGGAGTGAGACTTTGCAGCTACTCCGAGTTGCAAAAAATTACTGATTTCAAGTATGAGAATATTCTTCGGAAGACTCTTTCAGGAAGATTGTTCCATGGCATCATTGGTGAAAGATCTGAAAAACGGCGTGCTTTTGTAAAGACATGGGATCTTCTCCTTCCTATGCAAGATGGACATGCTCAACTTCTACCTAAATTTTGTGTATGTTTGCGAGATTGGCTGAATTTGATTTCCTGTCTGTAGTTTTTAGGTTGAATGATGTCAAGAATTCTTTTGTAGGATGAGATCGAGTTATTCACAGATGAAAAAGCAAATACGCATCAAAATTTGGTGAAATTGTGTATGTTCTGTTGTTACAAAAGGCTTGCAGCTGTGTATGAGTGTGATGAAAAATTTACCAGACTCTTGTCTAATGTACTTCTGGATGGTATTTAAGTTGCCTCAAGTATTATGTTGAATGACTGTTCACTGTGACTTTTGTATGCTTTTAAAAGAGTCTATATGTTTTTTATTTCTTGTTCGTCAGATGAATTTCGGTGGGATGACTGGATAAAAGTGGCAACTCAACTTGCAGATCTCTTGGCATTCTTGCATGAGAAGGGAACTGCGGTTGGCTGTGTTACTGCATCATGCATTATGATAGATGAGGTTGAGTTTGAGCCCTTGGTCATCTTCTCGACTTTCTATTTCTCTTAGATATATCTGAAGATTTTCAACAAGTTATTACATTGGTTTGGCTGCAGGAAATGAATATAAAAGTATTTGACTTTGGTTACGTTTCTTGTCATGTGAACGAGGACTCTAAAATTCCTGTTGAGTATCTTGTCGGCAGGGAAGCTCCAGAGGCAGGCATGTTTGCTCAGACTTCATCATCTCTGATGTTTTCATGCTATAGATCAAAGAGTTTCTTATAGTAGTTTATGTAATGCATGTTATGTAACACTTCGTCTACTGTGTTGTTTGAGGTCCAGGTTAATTTCCTTGATTAAAGCCCACCATTCTTTTCCATTTCTTTGCATTTTCCCTTTTTATTTTCCCTTCAATACCTTAGTGATGTGCAAGTTAGTTGTTTGACAAGACAATCTCTAACTGGAATATTTGCCTGAGCCTATGGTTAGTTATGAAGACCTTAACAATTAAGGTGGACCTAAGATTGTTAAATTTCTAGCCAAAACATAAGCATGAAAATGCATTTGTTACTCGAGTCATGGAGGAGCAGTTGTCTCACGTCCTTGAAATCTGCTTGCTTGCGTTCTTGATTCCCAATGCCATAAAATACTTTTTTCTCTCTGGTGATTTCTATTAGAGCCATGATTTCAAATTTATGGGCTCGGGATCGTAACCCTTTTAATTTATTGGGTTCTAAGTTAATAATTTTTATATATTTAATGAAAACTGCAAGAGAAAAACATGATTTGAACCAAAAATACTGGGTTCGGCGAACCCGTAACAGACATTGTAGCTCCGCCTCTGGCCTCCTTTTCATCTCTAGCATGTTGTCTCTCTTACAAATTACAATTTGATGTTGGTTGTAGTTCGTTATCTAGGTATCCAGGATCAATACTAAGTTCTGATAAAGTTTTCTTTCAATTTTTACTGAAGACATCTCATGATACCTTGTCCCTGTACATTTTGCATTATTGTGCATTAATCCTCTGGGGACTCTGCCAAGAACCTCATATTTTTATGTATTCGGCAAAAGCAATTATGTTAATTTTACAATATCAATACAGGTACGCGGACTATGAAATCTGATGTTTATATATTTGGTCTTCTTCTGTTGGAACTGATAACCAAAAAAGAGTTTGAATATTCATTTTTACATGCGGCTAAACGTGGTAAAATAAATTTGGTTGATGAATGCTTCAAAGAAGTTCCTCCTGCAACTGCATCTGCGATCACACTCCTGACATACAACTGCACGGATCTCGATCCACTCAAAAGGCCAAAGATGAAGCATGTTGTGGATGTTTTGAGAGCACTGAAGATGCCAGCGAGGGGGGAGAAGAGAAAAAGGGAAGATGAGGTAGAGATGGCAACTGCCCTCTTGTCTTAGCCTCTTTTACCTTTTGTATGAACTGAATTGGTAAAGTAGTTGCGAGACGGCTTATTTGTAGAGAGGAAGCAGTCTTTTGATGTTCCCACTCTTTAAACAAATTATCATAGAAAACCATATTTGTCCCCTTTTTTCTTTTGGTTGTTTATACTCTTTCGAGTCAATCGGATGTGCAAAGTTTCCATTTATCAGTGCGCAATAATTGAGAAAGCATTAATGGAAGAGCTGCCAGAAAAATTGCCTATTCCACCTTGTGTGATTTCTATTTTCTATTTTCGACCTTTCACACAATTCCTTCGTATAAACTTTGGCTTGAATCGCCCATTCAGCTAACAAACACGACAAAGAACTCTCTTGATTCGCCCATTCAGCTAACAAACACGACAAAGAACTCTCTTCCGGCCTATGTTGTAAGTTAGTTAGTTAGAGATCGAAACTAGATCGGTAGTTGAATAGGGGGATAAATCCTTTTTTCTCAATCACTTTGACAAATGTGGAAGAATATTTTCTTGGTATCGTGATGAGACATCAACTTTAGTAGCTTTAACTTGTTTGAAATAAATTTACAGAGTCGAGATGCATATCACAAAAGTAGAATAGTGGTGACTATGACGATAGCATATGCAATAGAAGTGTTTATAGCTCTGATTTTAAGGAAATAGAAGTGATTAGCAATAACAAGAGTGGGTTACTCTAGCGGTGAGCATCCTCTACTTTCAACCAAGAGGTTGTGAGTTCGAGTCACCCCAAGAGCAAGGTGGGGAGTTCTTGGAGGGAGAGAGCCGAGAGTCTATCGAAAACAGCCTCTCTACCACAGGGTAGGGCTAAGGTCATAGTACACACTATCTTACCCAGACCCCACTAGTGGGATTATACTGAGTTGTTGTTATTGTAAAAGTGCTTAGAAATCCGGATTAGTCGGCTCCTACAAAACACAAGGATGGAAACCTACGTATTTAGAATTGGTGTTGAGCAAATATGACATATTCGGCAATTATGAATATACCATTAGTAACTTAATGGGTCGCCAAATCTTGTCATCTCTGCCGCATTATAGAGAGAGGTTTGGCATGACCTCAATCTGTATATTATAAAACTCAAAAGGATCATTACAAAAGAAGTCTGTAAATCAGATTTAAACAACTCCTGAATCAAAAGAGGAGAGCACATTCCAGTAGGATAAAAATAAAGTGCTCCAAAGTAAAAGTTTGTAGAAGCCATCCAATCCTATTGAGCTATAAATAACCAACTATCAGAAAGGATAAACATCAAAAAAATTCTTTCTGGTCCTAATTCTGAAGTTAACCTCTTTGTCATTCTTCAAAATAGCTCTCACCTTCAAAGGTAAAGTGTTAGCCTCGGTGAAGAAGGTAGAAGTCTTCTTATATATACTCCAGTTAGCTAGCAAGTCGGCAGTGCAGTTAGCTTCTCTCTAGCAGTGTGAAAACTTGAAATTGCCTTCCTGCCTTAACTCTCTAATTTGTTCCACCAAGTCAACAATCTACCAAGGTATCACCATATGCTTGTTTATTGCATTGATTAGGACTAGAAAGTCAGATTCCCTCCTTATATCTGGAAGTATAAGAGGGGAGGAGTGAATTGTACGCCTAGTAAAACTTTAGTCGACTATATTTAGACTTAGTCAACTGATACGGAGACAGCCTGCACAAAACTGTTAGTCCTTTCGATTTAAACAAGTGTAAATCACAACAAACAGTAAAGGCACATAATATAATATGAGAGCGATAAAGTAAATGACACCAGAAATTTTTATACTGATTCGAAACCAATGTGGTATCCTAATCCAGTCCTCTTGGGTTGCAAGAGTGTTATCTTTTAGAGCTCTTTGTAAACTGTCTTGAGTACAACCTTTGTGGTTTTCAGCGATCACCACCAACGTTTACAAAGTTGGTTTTCACTCGCTCACCAACAACGAACAAGGGTTTGTTTTGACATGCTCACCAACAACATATAAGATTGGTTTTCACTCGCTCACCAACAACGATACTTTGGTTTTCACTCGCTTACCAATGACACAACCTCTCAGTATTTTTCCCTTTCTCTCTATCGTTTATGACACTTGTAAACTTAAGAACAATGTTTGACTAAGGTGTAGAAAGAGTAGGAAAGTAGTATGCGAAGCTGATGCTTTTCTTTTTCCCGAGTTGTTCCTATTTATAGTGCCTTCGATTTTGACCGTTGCTAATAGCAAATCTAGATCCCTTTGAATATTCCTTTAAGCTTTGTCAGTAAGATCCTTTTTGCCTTATTGGATGAATATCTTCGTTATTGAAGATCTTCAATCAATTCAAGTTTATTGACTTCAATTGTATCCCAAAAGATTTGAATGGCATAGGAATCATATTGATGGAGTCTAAAATATATCTTGCCATAACTTAACTTCCTTGATTCCTTATTTAAAGCCATACTTCAATCTTCTTGATAGCTTTCCATGTACTCACGCTGGAGATAGTAAAGGATTACTATTTCTTTCTTTGACTCACAACAGATTCTTTTCCCTACTAAATGTGGGACTTCTTTTATTTGTTGCCTTGATAACTTCTTTGTGTGGATCTTCTTTTTCCTTGGTTATGAGATATTGGATTGGCCCTTCCTTTAATAGCTTTGTGTAAGAATCTTCTTGGTATTCAAAATATTTCCCTCACATAGTAAATAATTTTCTTTGAACAAAGATATTTCTTTGATAGCCTTGAACTTTGTAGTATCGATCCTTGTATATTTTCTTTCTATTTGAGCACCCAAAATATTTTCTTCAACATCTCATATTTTCATAACTCTTGCCGCCTTTCCTTGTCGATAGCCCATAAGACTAGTCTTCTAGCTGTAGCTCCTCATTATGGAATAATCCTGCGTAATCCTTCTTTATTCTTTGATGAACTTGGACCTTTTCATGTGCACTACATGAATTTTGCATTCCCTTAATTTAAGGGTAATTTTCTTTCCTTTAGAGAGTAGGTACTGGAAAGTTTTCCAAGTCTTCTTTGGCCTTGCTATTAATTTCCTCCATATTGTATATATGGTGATGCCCTGTATCACTAGTAGATATTCTCCATCCTTTTGATATTCCTTGATCAATGTAGCATATTTCCTTATTGAAATATTTCGTGCTATCTCCTTCAATCTTCTGATTTCTTTCCTTTTGTTTTTTTTTGTACCAATATTATAAAGATCTTCTATAATTCTTTTCCATATCTTCTTTGATATATTTTGAAACTTTCTTCCAACAAGATAAATCATCCCAATAAATCTCAATAATATCCTCTATAAAAGAGTGTGCATTATAGACATTTCCTTCCTTAGCTTTGTAGTAAATCAACTATCATTCTTCCATCTGCTTTTCATAATAAACATGTACCAATAAAATAAATTTATCACAAGTAAATATTAGTTGATTAAACCTTATGTTGGTTTGGTATCATCAAAATTAGTGTATGAAACCTTGGGGCTAACAATATCCATAATCAATACACCATTTCAAGCCAACATGGATATCATTTGCTTCTGCCATATTGTTAGTACATGAACCAAAAAAGTTGGAGTAAGCCATTATTAGATCTCCATATTGATTTCTTAAGCATCCTCCACCACCTGCTAAGACTGGATTTCCTTTGCTACAACCATCAGTATTAAGCTTAATGTAACTTTTTCTTTTTTGGTAATAAATCTTAATGTATCTCTCATGTGGTTTTATCCATTTGATAGGGATAACTTTTAGTAAAGGTTTACACCTTTCCACAACTCGGATCAATTATTTCCTATAAGAAAAGACAAGTAATGATGGAAATTGGACATTTATAAGTATGCACATCATGTTCTGAATTTGGAGACTAAGATTCTTGTCAGAGATTTTTTCCATATACATATTTGATAGTGAAAGTACAATGGGGAGGTGAGTTGTCAATTTTTCTTTATATATCCTAAGTGGTTGACTAGTTTATCAATTAATCGACTGAAAATAAAAGCAGAATCTAAATAAAGGCAGAAGTAAAAATGCAAGAATTAAAGGCACCAGAATTTTTATACTGGTACGGATTTAATATGAATCCTACGGCCAATACCCTTGAGTTGCAAGAATGTTCTCTTTCAAGTATTTGAAGTTTCTTAATACAAGAGGGTTGGTGTTTTTATACACCAACAACCTCGTAACTATATTACTTATTTTCTCGCTTCTCGATACAATGCATCATCACCAGTAATTTTTCTCTCTTTCTTCTCTCCCTAGTTACACAATAGATCTACAATAGACTACAATGCTTGTTTGGAGTAAACAAAAAGATTAATAGTGGTTCGATCAAAATATATGATTCTTCCTTGACATACTTCATTTTATACTTGAGCTTGGCTTGGCGCATCTTTGGCAGACTGTAAAGAGATTTGCAATCCCAAGGGAATTGATCATTGGAATTGAATCTATTATGATTGATTCCAAGAATAAGTACAGAGCTTCCATAGATGGTCCATGACTGCCGGTCTTTTCCTTCTTCAAAAGAAGATCCCCTATAATTGGTCCTTAAGTTGTTCCTTGATCCATGGGATTGATAGCCTTCCTTTTTCGACTCATATCTTCAGCAATCAGGGTAGGCGTAAATCTTGGCCCTTCCTTCATTATACCAATTATTCTGGTTGTCATATTGCTTAAATCTTGAACCTTCCTTACTTGCTTCCGTTGACAGATCTTTGCCTTGATTCTTGTACTTCTTCCTTTCTTGACTTTGTCTGTACATCATTGATAGATTTGCTCGCATCCTTCTTTTCATCTCACGTGATCATGCACATAATAATATGTAATTTTCGTCATTGAAATCTACATCTAACAATTTTTCCTTTTTTGATGATGACAAAATAACATATAAAAATAGTTTACTTCCCTGTTGTACTTGACTCCCATCATGCTGTAGTCGACTCTTTAGTTGGCTCCCCCTCATCAAAACAGTGCTGTAAACTGTCATCATGCTGTAGTCGACTCTCCTTCAATAGGA